AATAACACTTTGATTCTATAAAGACATTGCCTCATGTACTCCAGTTTTTAAAGTTCACATATACAGTTTTTGGAATTATAGACCAAATACTATTTACGCTTTCACTAAAATTTTGAGTTTTATCAAACAAGCATCTAGATAAAAGTGCAAGACTAGTGACCTCTAAATACTTTTTTTATGCAATTCCTAATTGCAATAGGTAAGTTGTGTTTATGTTTATATGTGTAACCACATATAAGCATAAACACATGCATATGCTTATATGTGTGTTTATACTTATATGTGTTATATCTACACCACAAGTCACCTCCCTTGGGGCATAAACCGTGTCGTAGATTCAAATCTGGGGAGATTTTATCAAAAATATAGCCTTAATAGCTTGCCTTATGGCTGACAAGTTTACTGAGTTGTTTTGAATAGCGAAAATGTAATATCTTTGCAATTTATTTATTTCTGCATCTGTCAATCTATTACGCCATCCTAGAGATTTTTTGTCCTCGAGCTCTTTGCCTTTTAATTTTAATACTCTGAGTTGTGTCCCCAACCTTTTATCAACATGACCAACACATTCTAATTTTTTAATGTTGACATCTCTGTAAAGTTTAGATTCTAAAACTGCTTTTCATGTTTTAGAGTTCCCATATAGTTCAAGTATTGTGTATATCGTAAATTGTGCAATGCCTTTGAACGATGGAAAATACAAAGTGCACCTTCAACTTCCATTCCCGTATTATTTCTCTCGTCATTTTCAGAACACTCATTGCAATGTACATTGTCGTTAAAATTACATGAGCATTTCCTCGATAATATTTTAGCATCAACAATTTTCCCAGTGTCTCCACTAACTGCCATAACAATACCATTTACAGAAGTATGGCCCCTTTTTTTTTTTTGACAGGTACCATCGATAGCCACCGGTACATTTGGACCTCCATTATTATTTATTACTGCATTATTGTTTCGGCAGCAGCAAACGTCATAGACGCTTTGACTACTTTCTATGTTGCGTTATTTAATTTATGCATGGACTCGCAAAAACACTTTGGTGGATGTGACAGATTCATAACTCCGCAAAATATTTTCGCAACTGCTTTTTTAATATACCTCATAACATATAAAAGCCTAGTGTTCACTTCATGTAATTGTGTATCTTTTTTGATTAACTACAGCTTTAGTAAACTTAGTATTAGGAAATGTTTTAATAACACCACAAAAATCACAACATATTAACAATTTTGTAGCCAAACCCTGGATTTGGCAACCAAAATTTATGTGAATACCTTGTTTTTTACATTTTATTTATGTAATTAATGTTGTTTGAAAGCACAAGAAAACAGTACAATGTCAGTCATTTCACAAAAACTTTCAAATCAATTTAAAAAAGAAACATGCTCTTTATTAAATTTACCTAACTTTACTTTCAAAATTGAATTATTTATGTTGCAATTGTCTGACTGTTATGCAACATTTCATTCCTCGAAAGTTTCGGTTTTCGTACCTACTTTTGCAAACTTTCGTTTTTTAAGTGTTTTATTATTAAACTGAGGCATATTTATAAAATCATTTTGATAAAAAACCGATTCTGCACAATAGCAAAAATTCGTTATATTTAACCGCGTAAAAAACAGCATGTAAGCTAGCACAAAATAAACAGCTACAACTATTCACTTCACTTCTTTCCTGAATAAGCTGCTGATCAAAATGAATTCTTTTGATCAAATTAAAATATTTGATACGGCTGAAAAGTAGCAAGTGTCTTGTTTTGATTTGAAAGGGGCGTGACAGTCAGCTGTTTGAGGGTTTGACAAATGTAAACAACTTTTTAAAAAAATATTAAAAATACTTCTAATTCAGCTAGAGCCAAAATTTTAATTGCATTAGGAAGAAAAAGAGTGGTATTTTATTTTTCAAACAAAATTGAAAAATCGATTTTTAATTCGATTTTCGTTAAATGACCCCCTTAAATGCTCTTACATAGCTAAAAAGGAAATATCAATTTTCAACAACAAGGTACAAAACACATTTATTCCAGAAATTTTAGATTTAAAATGCAAAAATACATTTAGTTTTTTTGGCATCTTAAAAATTTAAATTCGAGAAAATACGTAGATGCAGTATTACAAATAAATATCTATTTGTTAATCATTTTCCTATACTACATGAAAATTATGTAAACTTTTGAATTCATATTTTTTCAGGTAATTCTTGATCTAACTCTTCAAAAAATCAATAATAGTCAACAAGAAATGTCATACATAACGAAACTGCGAAACGTCATAAAGTTTCAAACAGCAACAGAACGAGAATATGAATATTTAAAAAAATCTTCATTTTATAACAGTTTAATATTCCAAAAGAACCAAGAAGCATTATTGGAAGTATGTTTATCTCATGCTCTCAAAAAAGTTGTGAAATATTGTGAGGTAGTGCACAATATTGAACCCTTTCGCCGATGGGATATGATAAAATTTGATATTGATGAATTCAGAGAAGCGCAAATTCCAGTTTTACGGAGAGAAATACAAGATCCCAGAAATATAGAATATATACCAAGAAATCAATTTTTAGTTGCAGATTTCAGCAATTCCAAACGCTGGGAGTTTCTCAATAACTGGCAAAGTTGTGGTTCTCGTGAGATACGATTATTTACAAATAAACATCTGGGCGATCTGGAAATCCCTGATGTCGATTACTTGGATTCATTGCACAAATCTTCATGGAGACGAGTATACGATTACAACTTATTACTTTTATCTTGCATGGACAAGGATATTGCTGCTTATATAAAAGAACAGACGAAAATAAGCAAGCCAATGAACATTTTTAAGCAAATACTTAATCGTGAATGGGGCGAACCTTTCGATCCATTCGAAGTTTTAAAATCCATAGCGTCGCCTTATTATTATGTACTTCCACATCAGAATGAAAGGGAACGCAGCGAATTTCAATCATTCTTCCCCTGGATTCAAACAACCAATGGTTCTTCTTATATATCTTTGAGTTTTAAAAGTAGATTGATTATTGCTGAAACGACCTTTTAATGTAATGATAGCGAAATGGTTCTTTTGAAGAAGAGATTGCAATGTGATTTTAGACCAATTTCAGTCTGTGCATATTTGTTCATAAATAATTAATGAATCTCATTTTTACACTCATTTTGCATTTTTATATACACAAAGAAAGATAATAAAAATTTAGTTAAAAATAATTTACTTATTTCTTTAAGTTTTTTTATACATTTTACGTTTTTATGAGTTAAAATGAAGTATATACAAATGATTAAAATTTGCTGTTCAACGAATGAATATCGGGAGCTACAGTGCATCGGAACTGTACACTCAGCAGGTGTCAATATGAAGCAATTTTCAAGATGAATGTCAAAATTTCTGTTGCATTACATTTAGGATACCTTCCAACGACTGAAATGCCTATGGTGCCATCTTTTTGATGATATGAGTTTAATAATTGGAGGATCGATAGTACTAACTGTTTTTTTAGGAAGTACTAGGACTTGATTACCCCCCAGGGGCCTTCCCCCCCTTGACAGCAATTTGCCAATAGCTCGACACCTGAACCTCTTACTCCGCTCGGACCTGGATCATTCGATCCCTCTGACTCCATTGTACATTCTAATTAAATTTCTTGCTCATAAGGTTATCCCTTGCACTTTATTTCAACGATTTGAACTTTTTAAAACTTCTTTAAACCTGTATTACCTTTAAATGTGTTTGAGTATCTGCTTCGAGATTTAAACCACAGGTACCCCTCGGCGAGATCTTTTCATTTATCCACTTAAGAAAAATGCAAAATGTGAGTACTTTAAAGGTAAGAAAGTTATCAACCAATTGTTTGAGGTTGGATGATGATTCTGCTGTGGAATGCTTAGAAATAATGCATGTTGTGATGATCCTAGTATTATTATGACAAAGAGTTTTAACTCAAAACCATAGATTGCTGTTATGGAAATGAATGTGTTTGGTTCTTTGTTTAGCAAAGAGCACTAAATATTTAGCAAACAGTTGTCACTGAACATTTTGTAATTGTGATATTTTTTTTCTAAAATTTTTAAAATTTGGTAAATTATTATATATTAGTAATAAATCAGTTTTATTTCTTATATTTTTCAACCATCTAATAAGATGACTCGTACTTTAGTTTTCCTTTTCTTGTAAAGCTTTTTCATGACGATGCAAAGGGGATAAACATACTTTTCTCATGTACAGGTACAAAGTCAATTAGATCACGTAAGGAATGAAAATTGAAGAGAAGTAAATAGCTTAACTTTTCAAAAATAACTGACAACAATTAGTCTGTTCTTCAATAAATAACTGCCAAGCATAAAATCTTAAAATGTATCACTAAAATTCTATTATTCCAAGCAGTTCCATCAATTGATGTAACCACGCTCGAAACAAACTATGTGTGTATTCCTGTTTATATTTAACACTTGCCAACATGGGCCACCAGTAAACTACATAACAAATGAATTGTTTCAACATACAGTTTAAGCATAATTCACATTCCTAATTTCCTTCATATTGTGTATTACACAGCGAGCACACACACACACACGTACTGCAAAAAGAAAAGCCATTTTTGAAGTTATACTTCTTTTTCAGTGTTAGCGAAATAGGATGAGGGTAACTTTTTATACGATGCGTGTGCACACCGTCACGGATGTGACGTAAAACTGTCATGGATGCGAAAATGCTTTGTCCAGAAATATGCAGAACAAGAGAGATCATTCCCGCCTTCGAAATTCTTAGGAAAATATTTCTCTTCAAATCCCTGAAGAAAGGGACTCGCGGGTTTGAACCGAAGACTTCTCGATCTGCAGTCGAATGCCTTACCAATAAGCTCTACACTCGCGTCAGTGAAACTTTGCTTTGCGTTCCATAGGAACGGATACGAGAATGCTTCGTCTAGAAATAAACAGAACGGAAGAGATCACTGCCGCCTTCGAAATCCTCAAAAAAAAATTCTCTTCACTTCCCTCAAGAAGAGGACACCCGGATTTGAACCAGGGACCTCTCGATCTGCAGTCGAAAGCTCTAAAACTGAGGTATACCCCCGCGTCAAGTAACCTCTGCTGTGCGTTCCGTAGGAAAGGATACGAAAATGATTTGATTAGAAATATGCAGAACGGGACAGATCATTCCCGAGTTCGCATTTCTCATAAAATATTTCTCTTCACTCCCCTGAAGAAGGGGGCACCCGGATTTGTACCGGGGACCTCCCGATCTGCAGTCGAATGCTCTACCACTGAGCCATACCCCCGTGTCTGCGAACTTTTGCTCTGCGCTGATTTGTGACGTTACTACTAGTAGTGAAAGATTGTTTTTCACCTACGGAGCTTCTCTCATGCATTTATTTGAACACTTTTTGGTATTAAACCAAACGTACTTAAAGGAAATTAAGAAAATAAAAAAAGAAGAGTAAACTAATCTTTAAACTGTGTTTCATGTACATAAAACATAAGAGTAAATATTAGTTTACCTATTTAAATAACAATTGCAAGTATATAATTATAGATGTATTTATACTACGAATGCATTGCGATGAATATAATAACATTTATTTCGTTGAAACAAATTATAAGAACATTTGTATTCATATATTTATTTTTGAAGTTATACTTATTTTTTTGCTTTAGAGAAAAAGGATGAGGGTAAATTTTTACGATGCGCGCGCATACCGTTGTCTAATACTTTAACAGGGCACTTTTAATGTGCTATGGAACTGATATTTTTTGGGGGGATCATAATAACTATTCTTATAAACCATATTTGTTGGGATGCATCCCCCTCTACAGCTTTTTGGCCAATATCACGGCACCCGAGCCTGACAGTCAATTCGGATTTGGCTCATTCGATCTCTCTCTATCTGCTCTTCCAGTTATTATAATTTCATGCTCATAGGGATATTTCTTAGTTTTTCATTGTTTTAAACTTTTTAAATTTGTTTAAATTTGCAATATCTTGGCTCCTGTTCGAGTCTCGGACTTGAGTTTTGAACCAACTGTTACACTCGTCGAGACCCACCCAGTCATCTACTTCATTCCCATTGTGTAGACATGAGAAGGGCTTAAGCACTAAAATATCATGCCCGCGTGTTAATCCTATGGGGACTGGAAAAATTTCACCCCATTAAGGAATTAAGCTTTGAACTTGACTTTTGGAGGTTAACACCATATTTTCGTATTAGCGCGAGCTTTACGTAAAATTGGCCACCTCTCTCCTACAGGGCTTCTCCAGAAATAACTGGAATCCTATACCACCTTGGTCGACATCACCTCCTGGATTTGAATTTTCTCCATATAAGCATCCTAGATATATTTTTTCAGGACCATAGCCCCATTTCTTTACCCATATTTAACATTTTAAAATTAGTTATAATTTTTTTTAAATCCCGCATAGCTCCGAGGATTTTTGAGATTCATTAATGAAACTCAGACCATAGATTCTCCTCGTTGAGCTTTTTCATCTGTTATAATTCGTGTGTAGATAGTGGGCTTAGGGGGGGAGAGTCGTTATCACTCAAATTAAAATCCCCATGTTATTTTTATGCGTTCTATATTTTGATAACGTAACGATATTACAGAGATGGAAGGATGAAACTTTAGAATCACCTACTACACTGTAAATTTTGGGATGCACGTGACCAATTACGTCACAGTTATCCTCCCGGTGAGTGTTAGTTTCATTTACCTTTCCCGAGCTAGCACCACCCCTTTTGCAACTACAGACTCCTGACCAGTTCTAATGGATTCCTCTTATGTTTGCTTACAACCAGTCCCAGGTTCGAGTTGATGGGTGCCCTGCTTCTATTTTATTTAATTGTTTCAAATGTTTTAATTATTTTAAAATGACCATAACTCGGGTGGTCTTCAGGCGGATGTCTTAATTTTCTCAGAAAGGATTCTTCCTGCCGAGACATTCAATATGTGGTCTCAGGTGTCACATTAGATTCACTTCATCTTCAGATACAGTTAGATATCCCCCCATGATGTTATTGGTCCTATTGTCTCCTTGCGGGGGTGTTTAAATTTATTTAAATCGTCATTATCTCAGGTTTGGCTAGTCCGATTGACTGAAGGTTGGTATCGTTTAACCCTGCTAATGACCACCTTTCGTCCTTGGTCCAGCTTGCCCTGCTAAAGATTTTTAGAAAGATTTTAATCTTGTTACGCCAAAGAGGTATAACTTCTTACGTGCGTACAAAAGAACACACACACTTTTTTCTATGAAATTTTTATAAATATTCATAATGTCTAGAAATTGCATAACAACTATCTCAGACAATGAACTTTTACTATTCTAATTCCAAAATATCTCCCGGATCGTTAGATATATCTGCATTGGATAAATTATTTGAAACAACACATTTGTTCATTCATCTCTTAATTCATAAGATTTTTCAATGAGCTCATGTAAAAGTTTAATCTCATTTACAAAAAGAATGAATTTATCCTTGACCCATCATATTACACTGTAGCAATCTCAAAACGCATCCAGTATATACACTGCCTATCAATAAGTAATTGGACACCTGTGATAAGCGACAAACAAAACTTATTCATTATTAATAATTGGTAGAGTCCTCCACCTGAAGCATTTACAGCTTTAACCTTCCGTGTCATACTTTCCACATGCTAATGAAAGATGGACAGTGGTATTTTCTTCAACTCGGCATGGAGAAGGCATGTAAGTTTTTTCACGAACTTTAAACTGTTGCTGCACCCCTTAATTCACGATCCAACTCTACCCAAATGTTTTCTATAAGATTGAAGTCTGTGCAGGCCACACACACACAATCCAGTCGGTTTACCCAACTGTCATCATACAAATCCATGTTGGATCTTATAACATAACGAGCTGTGTCGTCATCCTGGAAGTAACAATCATCCAACTAGTAAAATTGCAACTGCTTAGGAAACCGATTGTTGCCTACAGTTATGGAGTAGGAGTCCGAGATTAGCATATTATGAATATGGATCCATGGTCTCAGTTCATACAATGAGAAACATCCAAAAACATTAATTCCATACCATCACACTTTACTGTAGGCGCAATGCATTATTTCAAAAAGCATTCTCCAGGCATATACCAAGCTTCTAACTCAGTCATCTAACTGAGTGCTTCTCAAACTTTCAATATATACGACTCAATATTCATTTAAAGTTTTCATCGTGCCCCCCCCTCTTCAGGCAATAACAATGCATTGAATTCAATAACACTATTATTTGAATTTAAAGCTACAATACGACTTTAACCTCTTAAAAGACCAGTGTATATAAACGTCTCACTCACAGCCAAGGCATTAATTGCTCCTAACGTATATAGGTCTTTCAGAAACAAGCTCTTCTCTAAGCACTGCTATGCATAAAATTATTCCAAAGGCTTTGGAATGCAAAAAGAGGACCTTGACAGTGTTTGCGAAGGATTTACTTATTTCAGAGGATTT